GGCTTTCAGAGAAGTGCCTAGTGGGAAAGAAATTTAGGTCATGTGAATCCGTGGTAAAGTTTTTCTCCCTTCGAGGAACCTAACAGCTAACCAGTCTTTGACTGGTTTATTTATAATAAATATAAATATTATATATATTTACATTATACCATTTAGAATAGTAATTTGCCCCCCCGCCCCCCGCACCCCCGGCTGGGTGATTGGGTGATTTTTATGTGTTTTCTTTTTTCCGGAAAATCTCTCTGGGTCCCCTGAGTGCAGGTGACTGTCCCCCCTTCCTTGGGGGACGTGCTGCAGCCGTGAACTTGGCCCTCGGCATGGCCTTGGCCAGCCCTTTCCCAGTGTCGTTCGTGCTGTGGGGTCTGTTTAGTGCACTCAATGGAAGTACTTTTTAAATCTTGTGATAGTATGAGCGGACGATCAGCAGTGAAAATCTCGAAGATTTAATGCCTTCCTTTCTCTTCCCGAGTGTATGAGGAATATCTAGCACATGAGAAGGTGTTGTATGAGATTTCATTGGCTCCAAATCTGCAGACTCTCCGTTCTTTTCTTGGCGAGTGGTCACGAACGTTAGCATTCAGCCTTGCAAAATTAGCCCAGTTTCAGACTATAAAACCAAAACCTAAGATTTGATTACTTAAAAAAAAAAAAAAAGGTGTGTGAGCCGTGTGTTTATTCTGCTTTACACTCTCATGTATAAGGTGCGTAAGCGTACACATCTCCACTTTTAGTGTTCTTTTTCTATCAGGAAATTTGCTGGTCACATAAATAGACTTCTCTTTTCTACAGCTGAGTGGCTGTTTTCTTGGTCGCGTTTCATGGTCGGTTTTCATGATGTCATGGGGAAAAACGCTTCCGACTGGTGCCTTGGCAGAGGCGGGGAGATTGTCAGAGTTTCCCTGATAAAATGTTTATGGGTTTAAGAGGTTTATGAATCAACTGTAAATATTTGCTCTGGGTTTATGAGGCCTCCACTCATAAACAGTGTGTGTGTTTATCTATTGCTCATTGAAACGTCTTTAGAGAACGAGCTGTTCGGGGAATGTGTGTGCCTGGAGGAAGTACTATGAGTTACAGGTCGGGAGAGGCCTAATTGTGGGGGACCCTAAATTTTGTGTATGATTTTATTGTTTAAAACTACTGGTGCTGGGCACACGAGCTTTATTTTTAAAATCCCATTCCAGGTTTGACTTTTAAGTGTTTTCTGTGGACCATAGAGCGTGAACAGCACTCTGTAGCAGTGCTATTAGGGACTCGCTGGGGAGTCACTGGGAGAACTTTCTGTCTCTTGGTGACTTAAACGAACACCCGAGTGACGCCTGAAAGCCATCTACAGCCTGTTTATTGCAGGAAGAGAAACATGGTTTGTAATGAATTAAAATTCAGTGGGAACCAAGTTTTGGGTAGAAGACTGGTAGCCTCGACTGGACTTGTATGAAGAGTGAAGAACCTTAGTGAGTGGTCTCGAAGCTGAAGCTGAGAAATTCAAGCCAGGCTCTCACCCTCCCGGACGATGCCAAGTGATGGCATCACCGGTCCTTCCAGGTGTGGTGCGGAAGCTCCCCGAAGCTTTTTAGCCCCAGGCACTAGCTGCTGCAGGACTTCCTCCTTGCTCTGTCTCCACGCAGATGTTTCTGATGCCAAGGAAGCCAGCACTCCCTGAGAGCACTTCCGTTTTCCAGGAGCTGGTAATTGACCCAGGGGCTCTCCCAGGACCTTCTGCCTCCGCAGGCCCAGGACTGAGTTTCATGGCCATGTCGTCCCCTGGTTGTATCCTCCTGCCAAAGGCTCTCGGGGCTCTCTGCACACTGTTCTCTCTGAGCTTGGCTACTGCCTCCCGCCTTCCCCCATCTCCTGCGTCTTCCCACTGCCGGGCTTGGCTCTGGAATGCTCTCATGCTCACCAGCACAGAAGACAAGCTGGCCCTGGAGCCTGCCTTGGGTGGTGGTGGTGGAGTGCATATGCCCTACGCGTGGTGCAGGCAGAAGGGAGACATGGAAAGGTGTCTCGGGAGAGTTCCAGCTTGAAACCTGACAGCCCGAGTTGGATTCCTGCTTCTGTGGCTGGGCAGTTGCGTGGTCCTGGTGACTGCCCGCCCCACCCCAGCCTCTCTGGGCTCCCGTCATCTCTTCTGTGCAATGGGGATGGTAGTCACCGTCTGTCAGGGTTCTTGGAAGGAGGAAACAGGGTGGTGCACGTAAAGAAGTTAGCAGAGAGCGCGTGGAGCTCTTGTCACGACCCGGTGGTGGCTCTGTGGGGCCGGAAGTGGGTGACCCTGGCTGGGGCGGGCAGGCCTGCAGGTGGCGTGGGCTCTGCGGGAGCCAGACAGGTAGGGTGTGGAGAAATTACAGACTTCCTTGGCACCAGGCGCCCCGAAAAAGTGAGATGTGCGCAGGCATGCTTCTGGCTAGTGCATCAGAAAGCAAACCTGGTAATCGATGCCTGCAGCCTTTTGGGGAAAAGAGTTGTGGGTCGTGTTGTCAGGTGACACCCGGAGGGGTTTTCCAGAACGTGACTGCTTCCCTGCGGGTTTGTCTCACTGTGTCTCAGCAGTATATCTTGTTAGCTGGCCACTGTGGGAATCTGCTGATTTTTTTTCAGGGAGCCTGTTTCCAGTGGAAGGACCTAAATCCCTGGATAAAGTGGAAAGTTGGGAGAAAAATAAGGGAAAGATTTTCTCTTCAGGGAACTTTTCTTTTTCTTGCACATTTAATTACAAACCAGCTTACAGGGGTCAAAGTTGAGGAGGCTAGTTCCAAGCAACTTTGATTTAGAAGACAAAATTTAAGGTAACTGCTTTTAATCTAGCATTTTCTGGTTTTACAAAAAAGATCTTCTGCCCATTTCTGAGACTATACAGAGTATCGCAGGAAAATTACTTTTCCTACTTACAATTGAAGAAACCTTTGGTAGAAAATGGTTGTGGTAGCCTGCAAGAACAAAGCTTTCTTTCCTAGAGCCTCCTGTTGCTGGTTCCCCTGGATCACCTGCCAGGATATACCACTTCTCCATTAATAACATGACCGAGAGCAGTATTTATTTTTGGCCTGTGAAATAGGCTCTTGCTTATAGAAGATACACAGGTTGAACATCCATTGAGCATTATTGCAAGGAAAGAGAAGCTAAACTTTGAAGATCTTACTTATCCACGTGTGTGGAATACCCCTACTGCTCTCTGTCCTTTCTTTATGATATGATAGCCTTGCAGATATGCTAAAATAATGTTTACAGCTTTTGAGTGCTTTCCAATTGGAAACTGTGACGTAATACGGTTATCCGTGCTTTAAAATGAGCTATTTGGTTCTTTTTGACTATATAGATTATATCTTATGCACAATCTTAAATGTTTTGAGAATTGCTTGATTGGCAGCTGGTTGGTTTCTGTCACTAAGTTGCTAGGTGACCTCACATACTTGAGCAATCCTTCTGGACCTCCAGGAGTTTTTTCCTTGGGATAACATCAGAGTCAATGCTTCCTAAAGTTCCTTATGACACTAACAGTCTGTGCTGTTACTTTATAATCTCTAGCCGTCGGAAGTAAATGCGTGGTCAGAGGTGCTCATGCTGTCTACATGTCAAGGTACCTCCTCAGTGCCCGATGGTTTCCTTTACCCTGTCCCCCAACCTCCCCGGAGAAGGGAGTGGCCACAGTGAGGGCGGCTGATTCCAAACAAGTACTCTAGCAGGCGGCAAATATGCCCCGAAACAAATCTCATTTCATTTGCCTGAGAGCGCCTAATTTTACCCTTGATTTTGCCAGCGTAGTTCAGGCAGGATTTCTTCAGTGTTCCCTTTCCTTAGTCAACACCCCACAGTCAGCACGCCAAAGCCGACAGTATCAGCAGCATCCTTTTTTCTTTTCTTCAAGGTTTTTATTTATTTATTTGAGAGAGAGCGAGAGAGAGCACAAGGAAGGGGAGCAGCAGAGGGAGAGGGAAAAGGCAGCTCCCCACTGGGCAGGGAGCCCGATGTGGGGCTCGATCCCAGGACCCTGAGATCATGACCTGAGCCGAAGGCAGACGCTTCACCGACTGAGCCACCCGGGCGCCCCTCAGCTGCATCCTCAACAGGATCCTCCTGCACGGTTGAATTCCATTGTCCGTTGCATTAAGGATTTCCTGCTCTTTATGGAAGGCCCATGCCTTTCCAGTCTTCACTCTGTTTTTCTTTGTCTTTTGACAGAAGAAGGCTCGAGCCTGGAGGAAATTGGCTTTAACTGGGGAGAGTATCTGGAAGAAACAGGTACCAGCGCAGCTCCTCACACGTCCTTCAAGCACGTACGTAACACCCCTCGTCTTTCTGGTCTGCATTTGGAGGGGGGCGGAGGGGCATCTGCAGGAAGATGCCGAACCTTTGGGAAGATTTGGGAAGAAAAGGGAAATTGAGGCAGGATTTCTTAGAAATCCAGAGGTGAGGGCGATGTCCATTTGCTTTCCACAGACAACTGCAGGAAAGATGGGCCTTGTCTTCATACTTGAGGTCTTCCGGTAACGGGGTCTGGGCCCAGGGTGGGTCTCAGTGTGTGAAGAACAGTGTGCACTTTGCCCTTATTCTGCACCCTACGGAGCCAAAGTAGACAGACATGGCCCTGCAAAGGGCACACAGCCTGAGACAGGTAGGATTGATGGGAATAAAGAGCCAGCAAACGAGGTCAATACATGTGATGAGTAATATCATCTAGGAGGGGTAGTGGCTGTATATTTTTTATTTTGAATGGATATTTGTCTTTCAGAAGGACACCTAAGAGTCTTTACAACCATCTGTGGGCAGATGAGTGAAATTAGAAGAAATAACTGTAAATACTCAGAACACGTTTGGATCAAACCAGAAAATCATTTTCATCAGTAATATTTCTTTGAACGATGCACGTAGCGTGCCCCGTGAAGGGCAAGTCCCGGGAAATAAAAGATGGAGGATTTATCAGACTTTTGCTTATGTATGAGATTTTGGTAATATATCATTAGCAAGGGAAAGACTAAATTTTCAGGGCCCAAGTTCTGAGGCATTACTATAGCTTTACTGGAAATGAAAGTTTACTTCTGAGAAACAGTTTTTTTTTTTTTTTTCCACTGAGATATCCAAAGCAAAGATTTAGCCCAAGTCTGGTAAACAAACTGGGGCAGTTTTCTAGCCTATTCGTGCCTTTGGCTCTTTTGCCTCTTAAGATGCTGGGATGACTTGGCTAGATCCCTTGAGGGGGTTTAGGAAAGAGATACTGATCCACAGATTTTTCCTTCTTTTCTGTACCAGGAAGTTATCAGTATTTCTCCATGTGGAGCCACCCTGTTCTCTTAGATCCAGTCATATCTCCCACTTCCCTTTCAACCACAGTGTGGTTTCTTTCCGGACGCACAGTTTCTCCAGGCCCATGTGCCAGGTTTAGAGGAAGGGTAGCATGGACCCCTGGACGAGCCACGTATAATCCCAACATCTCTTAAGCAGGTGCTCCTCGAGGGTGTCAGATGTGTGAGCTTTCGAATGTTGTGGCTCACCAGGCTGCACATATTAATAGACTATAACCCTTAATTTAAAATAAAAAGAAATGCATTCTCAAAGGCTATGCTATTCGCGCAGTGGCCTCTAGCCACATGGAGCTACTGAGCACTTCAGAAGCCTGCCGTCCGAATGGACACGTGGTGTGAATGTCGAAAGCTGGCTGGATTTTGCAGGCTTCCTTGGAAAAGAACAATGTAAACCAATTCCGTGTCTTTCATGTTGATTACATCTTGAAATAACAATATTTGGGATATATTGTGTTAGATAAAATACATTACTCAAATGAATTTCATCTGTTGTATCTTTCTAATTTCTCACGTGGCTACTAGTAAACACAACGTCTGGTGGGTGGCTCGCGTGGTATTTCTCTTAGTGCTGTTCTAGGGTGAGAGGAATACTATTTTTAAGTGCCGTGTGTTTAGTAGTTCTGGTCCTCTTCTGGGTGTGTCCGATATAATGACATTGTCCCCGTGTTTCTCTTTCTTGAAGGTTGAAATCAGCCTTCAGAGCAATTTCCAGCCGGGGATGAAGTTGGAGGTGGCCAACAAGAACAACCCAGATACGTACTGGGTGGCCACGGTCATCACCACCTGTGGGCAGCTGCTGTTGCTACGTTACTGTGGTTACGGTGAGGACCGCCGGGCCGACTTCTGGTGTGACGTGGTGATCGCGGACCTGCACCCTGTGGGTTGGTGCACGCAGAACAACAAGGCCTTGATGCCCCCGGACGGTAAGCTCCCCGCATCCCGACGGCCAGGTGCCCACATCCTGAAGCCTTTTGATTCACACTTGTTCAGGATGCTCGTAGAGACTTGAAAACTGATTTATTGGGAGGTCTGGTGCTTTGCAGGTTGTTTTTGAGTTCTAGTGTCGGGAGGGCTCCAGAGTGGGGGGACCTGGGTGCATTTTTACTTGTCCACTGAGCCCACCGGGGCCTTCTGGAGACTAAGGCTTTGGAGTCTAGTCCTCAGATGGGTGTGCGGAGGGTAGGAGAGCAGGGCTGAGGGATGGATGCCCATGATTGAAGTCTTGTGTTCCCTTTGGAGATGGATGATGTTGCTTTTCTTCTGCTTTAGAGACTGGGCGTTTTTTATTTTTAAGAGTTTATTTATTAGAGAGAGAGAGAAAATGAGCTGGAGGGAGAGGGAGAGAGAATCTGAAGCAGACTCTGTACCGAGTGCAGAGTTTGACACTGGGCCCCATCTCATGACTGCAAGATCGTGACCTGAATCGAAACCCAAGAGTTGGCCGCTTAACCAGCTGAGCCACCCAGGTGCCCCGAGACTGGCATTTTGAATAGTCACATAGAGCACCTAAAACAGGCTTCTCTGATAAGTTTTCATCTGCCTTCCTGTGGGGAGACTGTCGGGGTGGGAAGCGTATAGAAAACTGAACAGATGTGGAGAAATGACATTACTCTCGAGGGAATCGTCAGAGCTTGTAGAGATAAGATCCATTTAGTTGCTGGAAAACAGTGGTTCCCTACAGTGACCGTACCCCCCAGGGGACACTCAGCCATGTCTGGGAGCATTTTGGGTTACAACAGAGAGGGTGCTGCTGCTGGCCTCTGGTGGGAAGGCCGGGGTGCCGCACAAGACAGTCCCCGAACCAGGGAGTCATGGGGCTCGAACTGCAGTGGCACGGACTTGGAGAAACCCAGAAGGAGCTCGTCTGATCCCGTAAGTGAGAAAAGCCACGTTTCCAAATACCTGAATCTTCACACCCTGTTTTCAGTGTTCAATTCTGCGGTGACGGCAGCGGTGATGCTTGAAGACTTCGGATGCTGATGCTCAGGCCTGTGTCATGTCTTCATAGTACCTGTCTGCCTATTTTAATTTTGACTTGATATCTTTATTTCCACTTGACAGGTAACGTTTCAGAGCTGAATTCCGAGGTCCCTTTTGTCCACCATATTGGCAGTTGCTTTCACCAGGAACTTTTGGATTTTGTCTTCTTTCTGAAGTTCTTATATATTCTTCTGATTGGTGGGAATGGTCTGTGCCTTTCTACTACCCCACGTCGTGCATAATTGAGAGCCGGCTGAGAGGAGGTCATGGCCCTATAGACCCATGCTCATGGAACTTGAGTTGTATTTCTGTGACGTTTATAAGGACAGAATACGTTGCCTGGGCCTCAGCTGACATCGTGGCCCCCGAGTGCCCCAGAAGAAAGAGAGACGGGCCCTTCAGTCCTGTTTTGGGTCATTGCACCTGTGCTCCCCCATGCGCAGGCCCTCCTCCCGCCCCCCTGCCTCCTCCAGCTGTGAGCTCACAGGCAACCAAGGTCAGACCCCGTCTTTGCTCACAAAGCCGCTGGTGCCCTTGGAGTTGATCACATTTGCAGCTGTGCCCCTTGCCCCCACTTATTGATACTTGAAAACAAATTGAGTGACGATACACATACTGTAAAATTCATCCCTTGGAAGTGTGCCCCTCAGTGATTTTTGGTGTAGTCACAAGGCTGCACAACTGTTTTCATTGTCGTAATTCCAGAGCATTGTCATCACCCCGTAAGGGAACCCTGTGCCCATTGACCGCCACTCCGTTCTCCCAGTCCCTAGGCGCTGGCGGCCGCTGGTCTGCTTTGTTTCTGCGGCCTCGTTTATGGAGACACACGGAATCGCAGAATGTGAGGCTGCTTGCGTTTGGCTTCTTGAACTTTGCATCGTGTCCTGGAGGCTCCTCCCTGTTGTTCAGCTTGTGGGTCAGGATGACTTTTCCTGGCTGCATACTATTCTGCTGGGTGTCTGTACTGCACTGTGCTTCTGCATTCGGCTGTGGGTGGGTGCAGGGTGCAGCTGTAGTCCCTGTTCTGTGGTTTTACCCCAAATGGTGGGCTCCGCAGTGGGAAATTGTTCACTTGTGTAGCCCAGCGCTAATACCTGTCCCTGGCGAGTTCTCAGTAAGTGCTCATTGACGGAGTGAATGCTCTGGAAGGAGGTTATTATCTCTGCTTATTATATAGATTCCCTTAGGAGAGGAATCCCTGCTGTTAAGTCCACAGGTAGTGCCTTTCTTCCTGGCCTTTGAGTCAGGGCAGTGTGAGCCTTGTTTCTGTTCTCTCTGCGGAGGGAGGGGCACTCGTGGGCCGTGACCGGCCCGCCCTTTGTTTCTGTGTCCCGTCCCAGTTCTGCACGCACACATCGTGGACTGAACTGGGTAAAGCTCTCCCCAACGTGTCCCGGGCCCGGCCTGCACTGTAGGTCTGTCGTAAGTGACACTTTTATATTTCTTTTATTTTTTTAATCCTCTTTACAGAGTTTTAAGTGCATGGAAACTTGTGAACTGTAAGCACAGTGTCAGCCCATCCCTAGAACTTTCATGTCTTGCATAACTGAAGCTTTGTACCCACTGAGCAGCAATCCCCCACTTCCCCTCCCCTGGAAGCCACCATTGCACCACCCGCTTCTCTGGGTTTGATCGCTTCCGATTCCTCACCTACCTGGAGGCGTGCAGTATGTGTGCTTTTGTGACTGGCTGGCTTTCCCTCAGCATCATGTCCTCGAGGTTCATCCATGTGCAGCACGTCCTGGGATTTCCCTTCTTTTCCTTTCAATTTTTTTTTAAAGATTTTATTTATTTATTTGAGAGAGAGAATGAGAGAGAGAGAGCACGAGAGGGAAGAGGGTCAGAGGGAGAAGCAGACTCCCCGCTGAGCAGGGAACCCGATGTGGGACTCGATCCCGGGACTCCAGGATCATGACCTGAGCCGAAGGCAGTCGCTTAACCAACTGAGCCACCCAGGCGCCCTTTTCCTTTCAATTTTATTGAGATAGAATGAAGCTATGGCAGTGTGTGAGTTTGGTGAACACCTGTCCTCGCACAGAGATACAGAAAGGGATCGAAAGAAGCAATGTTTTTCCTTGTGATGAGCGCTCTCAGGATTGTCTTAAAACGTCCAAATAGACCACACAAGCAATGTTAGCTGGAGTCCTCACGTTGTGCCTTCTGCCCCCTGTACGATCATAACTGGACATTTGTCCCTCTCGACCTCCTTTATCCAGTTCCCTTACCCCCCCATGCACGGCCTCTAGTGACTGCACATCTCATCTCCTTTAGTATGAGGGTTTTTGTTTCTTTGTTTTTTGTTTTTTTTTTTTCCTTTTGAGTCCACATAGAATTAGATGGTACAGTGTTTGTCTTTGTCTGTCTGACTTATTTCACTTAACATAATGGCTTGGGGGCCGTCTGTGTTGTTGCAAATGGTAGGATTTCCTCGTTTTCTTATGGCTGAAGAATATTCCGTTGTCTATACATACGGTGAACATTAAGGTTGTTTCCGTGTCTTGGACGTTGAAAATAATGCCGCTGGGAACGTGGGGGTGCAGATGCCTCTGTGACATAGTGTTTTCCTTTGGGTAGATACCCAGTCACAGAATTCCTGGATCTTAGGGTAGTTCTATTTTTAATTTTTTTGAGGAATCTCTGTACTATTTTTCAGAGAGGCTGTACCGATTGGCATTCCCACCAACAGAGCGTGAGGGTTCCCCATTCTCCTCATCGTTGCCAGTGGGTCACCCCTTGTCTGTCTGTTAGCCGTTCCACAGGTGTGAGGTGATACCTCCTGGTGGTTTTGATTTGCATTTTCCTGATGCTCTGTGATGCGGAGAAGTACCCGGATGTGCTCTTTGGAAAAATGTCTCTTCAGAGCTGCTTTTCAGTTTTTCTTTTTCTTTTTATTGAAGTGTCATTGACACACACGTTACATTAGTCTCAGGAGTATTAACACCGTGATTCAGCTTCTCTGTATCTTATGCTGTCCCCACCACAAGTGGAGCTTGTTACAATATCACGTATTCTGCACGCTGCCTCTCTCATCCCAGAGCTGGAAACCTGGGCCTCTCACTTGCCTTCACCAAATACATGAAGGGAAATGGGTGAAGCTTCTGCCCATTTTTTTATAAAGACTTTATTTATTTATTTGAGAGAGAGAGAGAGAGCGCACGAGCACGAGTGGGGGAGGGGCAGAGGGAGAGGGAGAAGCAGACTCCCTCCCTGAGCAGAGATCCCGGGACTCCCGGATCATGATCTGACCTGAAGGCAGACTCTTTTTTTTTTTTAATTTTTTATTGTTATGTTAATCACCATACATTACATCATTAGTTCTGGATGTAGTGTTCCATGATTCATTGTTTGTGTATAACACCCAGTGCTCCACTCAGAACATGCCCTCTTTAATACCCATCACCAGGCTAGCCCATCCCCCCACCCCCCTCCCCTCTAGAACCCTCAGTTTGTTTTTCAGAGTCCATCATCTCTCATGGTTCGTCTCCCCCTCCGACTTACTCCCCTTCATTCTTCCCCTCCTGCTATCTTCTTCTTTTTCTTTTTTCTTAACATATGTTGCATTATTTGTTTCAGAAGTACAGATCTGTGATTCAACAGTCTTGCACAATTCACAGCGCTCACCATAGCACATACCCTCCCCAATGTCTATCACCCAGCCACCCCATCCCTCCCACCCCACCCCCACTCCAGCAACCCTCAGTTTGTTCCTGAGATTAAGAATTCCTCATATCAGTGAGGTCATATGATACATGTCTTTCTCTGATTGACTTATTTCGCTCAGCATAACACCCTCCAGTTCCATCCACGTCGTTGCAAATGGCAAGATCTCATTCCTTTTGATGGCTGCATAATATTCCATTGTGTGTATACACCACATCTTCTTTATCCATTCATCTGTCGATGGACATCTTATGAAGGCAGACTCTTAACTGACTGAGCCACC